GGCTGAATAATGAGCACATATGTACAGGACACGAATACATTCAGTCAGCCCTTGAGTTATCACTTCCAAGACATCTTTTTTTTTCATGCTTATAATATTAGGAAGCCTGGAGACTCACCTCAGGTAGCTTTGTTTCAGGAATTCGCTCTTCAAATTGGACACTAGGAGCATGTTGAAGTTTTGAGAGATTGTCCAGAATGTTGCATTTTATTTCCTCCAATTGCTTGTTTGTATTTCTGTTCTCCATGTTACTTGCTGCAACGTAAAGACTGTATTCTGGACCAAAATATTCATAATACTCGTTATAAGGCAACTTCTCCCGTAGCTCTTCACCAAGTGCAACTCCTGTCTGGCCAAATAAAAAACCAAATAAACAGTCAGAGGATAAAACCATAGCTGTAGCAACAGGTGTTCCTGATATAAGAGATAATTTACTCAAGCAAGCATAAGTGCAGCCATTCACACTTGTTCGCCATGTTTAGCCTGTTGTGTGTTCAGATTTATAAATTCACAAAAGGCAACGAAACCAGGCTTGCAAGGTCCAAAGAGACCAGATTTTGGGTTGCTAATTTATTAAAGACATCTCTGATGAAAGCTAACAACTGAGGAACAGGTGGTGGCCTGAAGCATATGATTTTGCAAGGGTTAACAGTTAGCTAGCAGTGCCTTGCCTGATACTTATCTGTTTAAAAATAACCACACTTTAATGCTTTGAGAAACACCGGATGATTTGTTACTGCACAAGTTCTCACAAATTAATGCATTTGAATGAAACAGAGTAGAAAATAAATACATTAAGCATTACATGTAAATGGGAGATAGGTGTTCTGTGCATTTCAGTCATCTGCTCAGTACAAACCAAAATCTTAGTTTGGTGATTGTAAAATTACAGCAACATGGATCAATAAACAAAGCCAGGCAGTAGGTACCAACTACTAGAAGACAAGTTCTTGATGCTGAGCAAGGAACAAAGTGGAAACACAAAAGCAAATTAGGTTCTAACACATTACCGAGCTCATGGCTTTGCTTTGTCATCCATAATTAATAGAATTAATTAATTGTTTGTTAAAGGCATAAGGAAAAAAAAACGGGGGAAAGTATAGATACCTCGTAACACCAGCAGCGTGCAACATTTCTTATGGTATATCCACCACCACCAAGAAGAAGCAACGGAACATTGAAAGACCTCATGAACTTAACACATTCAGCATGACCTTTGCCTGAGAGATTGAAACAGCCCAACCTATCACCGGACAACGAATCAGCGCCGCACTGAAGCACGACTGCACCAGGACGATACATCTCCATGACTTTGCTGATGATCGGCTTGAAGATGGACTGGTAGCTGTCATCATCAATTCCATCATCCAGCGGGACATTCAGGCAGTAATACTTCCCTTCTGAATACCCAATATCGCGGATGTCCCCTGTTCCCGGGAAATAATCCCCAAACTTGTGAAATGAGACTGTCATAACCCTGTTTGTTGTGTAGAATGCCTCCTCAACTCCATCTCCATGATGGATATCAATATCAATATACAGAACTCGCTGTAAATATGAAGACAGCATATTAGTGGTTTAGCACAAGAAGACAACTAGACCAAATAGGGGAAAAAACATCTGATCTGTTTTCAAACTTTCAACTGTTCATGATAATCTAGGATTGTCTTTACGCAACATACATTCTTCAGATCTGTCTGATTAATCACCTCTTGTTCTGAATACGTTTCAATCAAATCAATCTCTTATCATGAACCGTCCAATGAACATTCTAATTGTGTACGTCGTACTCCATCGTCCCATAAAAAACCAACCTAGTACTGGATGTGACACATCCTAGTACAACGAATCTAGACATTGTACTATAATATATCACATCCAGTCCTAGATTCACTTTTTTTTTTTGGACGGAGGGAGTACATAGCTTTAACAGTGTACATCATGGGCAAATTTAATAACAAACGCAGCAAGTTCGTCGTCATATCATTCTCTCTCTTTGGAACATCATTATATCAACTAGAAATACATACATACATTCAGCATGATTCATCAACGTACATGAGCTTTTATCCAGGAAAACAAAAATCTGAATAAATTTGTTAATACATAATTCTGCACGTGCCAATATGACATACTATTCAGACAATGTGTAATCGCGTAACGAATATATATGAGATTAAGTTGAGCAAAAAGTTAATCCAATTTCTGTCTACAGATAGCCATTTCATTTACACTTACACATGATTAATATTTCCTACCGATCAAAATTTAGCGGAAGATCGATCGAACTGTACACGACAAAATCAGAGCAACTGAAGAGAAAGAAGTCAAGATGATTTTTGCTTCCGTCTTCATTGACCCACCCAACTTACACATCAAGTAATCTATCTATTCGAAAAATTAAACAAACCACCCATCCAAATAGTACTACTCCTAATCTATTCGAAACATTAAACGAACCCAAAAAAAAAAACGAACAAACACAAGTACGAGCGGAATAGGATGACGTCACCTCATGGAGCTTGAGGAGCTCGAGGATGGCGAGGACGATGTCGTTGACGTAGCAGAAGCCGGAGGCCTCGGACTTCTTGGCGTGGTGCAACCCGCCGGACCAGTTGATGGCGATGTCGTGGGTGCCGTGGTTGAGCTTGACGGCGGCGCCGACGGAGGCCCCCGCGTAGGTCTGGCAGTAGGCGTAGAGGCCGTCGAAGACGGGGCAGTCCTCGCCGACGTTGAAGCGGCGGAGGGAGCGGATCTGGTCGAACTGGGTCTCCGGGGTGACGGCGCGGAGGAAGGCGACGTAGTCGTCGGAGTGGAAGCGGCAGAGGTCGCGGTCGCGGGCGGGGAGCGGGCGGAGCACCTGCATCTTGGCCGGGGCGAGGAGGCCGTAGTGGGCGAGCAGCGCGTGGGTCATCCTCACGCGGTGGGGCTTCATCGGGTGACCCTGCCCGTAGTAGTAGTTGCCCACCTCCGGATCGTAGAAGTAGCACACCCGCCGCTTCTGCGCGTCGCCGCACGACGCCGACGCCAGCGAGTTGCCGCCGGCGCCCGCCGACGAGGGGTCCATCGCCGCTGCCTCCGCCTCCGCCGCCGAATTCGGGGTTGGGTTTTCTCTCTCTCTCGAGGTCGAGGAGCTCGCGTGTGTGTTGTGGTCGGGTGCTTGCTGGAGAAGGAAGCGAAGCAGAGGAGGCGAGCGATGCCGCGATGGGCGAGGAGGGGAAGGGGGGGTTTATATACAGGGGGCGGAGAGATGGAGAGGAGACGGCTGTGTCAAACAATGGGCTCTCGCCTCTCGGCGCCTCGTCGTTTTCCCTGCACAAAATCACCGATCATTAAAATTTAAAATTTAAATTTAAAGGTAATTTTATGATATTTTCAATGCAATTTTTCTTTTTATATTTGTTTTAAGTTTTTTAGAACACGTGTATAAAAAATTTACTCATAAATTATTTTTTAAATCGTTGATAGATTGTTTTAACTTGCAATCAGCTCACGATCAATTCAGTGGGGCCCTAGATATTCCATGAATTATCAGGGTCAAGGCTAATATAATTTAGTCTAAAGTTAATCATAAGTCTAAAATGATATAATTTTTTTATATATGTGTTCTTAGTAAAATCATTTCTAAAATATAACTATAATGCAGAAAAAATCAACTCTAAGTGTTATTCGAATTTTGGTTGTGGCATAAGTTGAAAAACAAACGATGGAGCTTTAATTTCTTAGGTAGTTTCCTTTTTGTTTCTGCAGGGGTGGCTCACATAGCTTTATTTTTTTTCTTTGATATTCCGCAAGGTATATACGGCGATCATGATGGTATTGGCATTCAAGAGATATTTTACAACTATAAATTTCTACACACTACAATAAATCACACAATTTCTAGCACAAATCAACAACTTTGTAGCCCATGTTTTTGGCTGATAGGTAGATTTAGACTAAGGGGGTGTTTAGATCCAGTGGTGTAAAGTTTTGGCGTGTCACATCGGGTATATAGGGTGTCGCATGGGGTGTTCGGGAACTAATAAAAAAAACTAATTACAGTATCCGTCAGTAAACCGCGGGACAAATTTATTAAGCTTAATTAATCTGTCATTAGCACATGTTTACTGTAGCACCGTGTTGTCAAATCATTGAGCAATTAGGCTTAAAAGATTCGTTTTGCAAAGTAGTCGCAATCTGTGCAATTAGTTATTTTTTAGCCTATATTTAATACTTCATGCAGGTGTTTAAACGTTCGATGTGACAGGGTTAAAAATTCTTGTGTAGGAACTAAATATGGCCTAAGGTTGTGTTCCTCCCCTCATTTCCCACCTCACATTTCTCCTTTTTCATGCAGACGCTTCTCAAACAACCGCCGAACGGTGTGTTTTTTTAATATATATATATATATATATATATATATATATATATATAGACACACACATACACACACGAATGTTGCTTTAAAAACTTATATTAATCTATTTTTTAAAAATAGCTAATACGCAATTAGTCATGTGTTTAATAACTCCGTTTTACATGCACCAGAGATCAGAGATTAGTTCCTAACACCAACAAAAGCAAGGGATTAGTTACCAACACCAACAAAAGAACACAGCTACTCTATGTCTGCGTGAAACCGTGAGTATGTCATATGTGTGTTGAAGCTTGACCCAACGTTCCAAGGTTACAATTCCATGATAAAGTTTGACGAATATGCCATACCTGTCACGGGCAAAACGTTGCGTTTTAAGTTACAATTCTATATAAAAAAAACCATGTAAAGATGGTTGCATTAACTAAAATATCATGCTAAAGTTGCAGCATAACTAACTACAATTTTTGTTAACCTTATTCTAGGTTTAATCTTATATAGAAAAGGTTTACGAGTATTCGTTTGCCTTAAGTTCACAGATCAAAATGAGTTAGCACCGATGGCTGGCGTGTAAAAGATACAGTACACTCATCTTGTACATTATAAAACGTACATTTTATAATGTTATATGCGACAATAGACAACACTATCGATTTTGAAGGCCATTTAATTACCGATTATATCATTTGTCGATTACTATGAAATTCTACAGGTAAATCCACCAAATCCTTACAGTTCTATCATTACTGTGGCTAAGAAAAGTAGTACAAGCAGTATATTCTACTCAGCAGATCACACGCTACGGCGCAGACTAAAATATTCTGCAAAAAGAACATTCCCAGCAAAACCAGTGGGCTCATCCTCCACTGATACAAGGGACCATCAGCTCGCAAAAGATGACAAATTTGATTTTAACTTCTCCATCTCCAGCTTGCATTCTCAGTGATGCCTAAAGCGGCACTCACAGTGCGAACCTCTAGGCCTCCACAGTGCATGTGGTTCTTTGCTCCCACCACTTGACACGTGTCGACCACAGGGTCAATCTTGATCATGGCTTTGCGGCAAAATGCAAGCTCAAAACTAATTCTGCTGAGATGGCACAAGGTCACTACGAGAGTTTAACACAGGTACGCAGCATATCAACCTAATATCAGGTTCTTGATATTGTGGAACTGTAATGTTTGGTACCATGGCACCATCTTTACTTGCGAGGGAATAAGGATGGTGCAAATTCAAATCAAATGTCACCCCGCAATGACCAGGCTTTCATGCACATTCCTACTCTTGAGTGTTGCAACCTGGAAACAACTTTCCTGCCAAGAAAATACAAAGAAATGTAAACCAATAAATATATAAAAAAATTATCCATTAATGATCAAACTAGGTAGAAGAAAGTAAATGATTAGCAACAAACATGTCAATTGCTGTTGTTTGGAAAACATCATACTTGAACTCCCAGCATTGCCGAAAAAATTGATAAGGCTGAACAAGCATTCGGCACACTTGTCATTGTTTTTTTTCAGAATATTTGGCTGGAGAGGAACAGAAGAATCTTTCAGCAGCAACAGAAAGACAACTGCAAATCGCCTTCATGGCAATTCAGAACATCACACAGATGGAGTTGCCAATCTCTGCCGACGAGAATTAACCTGCAGAAATTTATGTACATCAATTAGATCCTAACAGTTGTTTTCTTTCGGTTCTTGTATCAGGACACGTAATTTGAACCTACTCAGTTGATATTCTTCTTAATATAAATCAAGGCAGATCTCCTGCCAGTTTCTCGAGGAAAAGAAAAACCCTCCATTTGCATCTTACTAAAAGATGAAAAGACCTGGACAATCTCCCGTGGTGTGCACAGTCTGCAGACCCATTAATCATCAGGTTCCATGTAAAACTGTCCGGCACTCAGGCTTGAAACCTTCTGTTTATCATGAACAACCCTGTGTGCCAGAAAACCCGAGATCATGGTATTCCAAGACACCAAGCTTTGTTCCTCCACGGCTGATAAAAGCCGATAAGCACTAACTGCACCTTGCATACATGACAACAGGTGTTTACCAAGTGACAATGCTGACAAACTTGTGCATGCTGAGAACACCAGCGAAATCATTCCCATTAGGTTCTTCACTGAACCCAAATATCATTTCTCCAACAGTATCCAAGGGCATGGTGTGCTCATCATTCCTCAATAACCCAGAATCCATCGCATTGTAACGCTAGCAATTCAAACAAGCCAAGCCAATGCAACTGCTCCCCGTGCTTGACCACCGCATAAGTAAGGCAGGCAGCCATGACAGAGCTCGGTGGCTGGCAACCCTTCTTCCCGGAGGGGCTTAAGACTCGCGCCTCGCCTCATCAGCTTCCCCGCGCTGCGCGAGCCCAGCGAAGAGGGCGTTGAAGCGGGCGACGGTCCGCTTCGGCATTTCGTCGAACACCCTGCGCGCGACCCCGAGGCGGAGGAGCTCGCGAGTTCGGCGCCAGCTCGTAGCGTAGGCGCAGGAGGAGAAAGCCCGAATTGGCGAGGCGGGCGTGGACCTGGATCGTGGAGGCTTCGTCCCGGGCCGGAGCTCGACTAGGTGAAGGCCTTGAGCAAGCAGGGTTAGGTGAAGGCGGGACGGAGGCTGGAGGAGTAGGCGGTGAGGGTTTCTTGTCGGAGACGAGCTCTGATGATTTCTTTCCACGAGGAGGAGGCGATGGTGGCCGCGGGGCGTCTGCCATTGGAAACGCGAGCGAGCTCGCGGAGATGCTGCTCCCATGGCGTCAATGGCGGCGGCGGCGGCACGGCAACGGTTCGCGTGGGAACTTCGAACGGGGAGATAAATTTGCAGTTATGGGGCTGCAGAAGTTATAAATTTCATATACTAGATACTTTTGCATCTTGTCAGTGAATATATTCAATTTACATATAAGTATAAGAGGAGTATTTGATTTGAAGCAAGTTGAATATTGTTACTACTCCCTCCGTCCCATAATATAAGGGATTTTGAGTTTTTGCTCGTAGTGTTTGACCGCTCGTCTTATTCAAAAAATTTATGCAAATATAAAAAACGAAAAGTTGTGCTTAAAATACTTTGGGTAATAAAGTAAGTCAAAAAAAATAAATAATAATTCTAAAATTTTTGAATAAGACGAGTGATCAAACAGTGCAAGCAAAACCTCAAAGTCACTTATATTATGGGACGGAGAAAGTATGTTATCCCAAAAGTTTGGACGTTCCCCCGGCCCGTCCAACTAATGTCCCAGGAAAAATATCGTCCTGGCCATAATCAAAGAAGTGGCCCACTTTCAGAAATAGACGGGCATTCCTAGGCACCAAAGCACATACTACATAGGCTAATTCAAATGTTTAAACTATGGTAATGGTTGTTTTCTCATGTGTAATTTTTATGGCCATGGCTCTAATGTGTTTATGCAAATCCCACGTGGTAGTCAAGGTGTGCTTCGTTTACTATTTAACTGCAATATCTATTATTCTGTGGGGCCTTCTAGAGTGCATGCACATCAGAGCTAAATTGAATTAATGAGGGTAAATTGGTCATTTTTAGTAGACATTAATCTGGGTAATAAACCTTAAAACGTCATGCTTTACGGTACAGAGGAAGTATTGAAATTTGTTTGGTAACACTAGAATTTATAATATTAACAAAACAACCATGTATATTTGATTGTTTGTTTTAGAATGTGATCTTCATCAAATCATCACAATTTGTCCAAATATATTGCTTTCGCTCAAATTTTGTAGAATATTACAGAATATACTAATTCAAACTAGCTTAAACAAGTAAAAAACCATGAATTCTAAGTGGGTTTCCTCAAAAATATAAGCATTGCATCATAGTAGCAAAGATACTTCGGCAAAAAGAACTAATTTTGAACGTTACAACGCTATTACGACTTTTTCTTCTTTAGATTGTTCATATGTTGGCGGCAGGCGGTAGCACAATTATACTAGCCACAACAGCTATAGCCAATCAATATGAAATCGTTGTCTCCTACAGTAACATTTTCACACATTGCACACCTAAAACATCGCAATTGATGTCTATGCTCGTACATTTTCTACCAGTACTATTGAACAACTTCTTTGTTTTCACGGTATCATTTCACAAGGGCTTGTCCTCTCGAGCAGCCCTCTTTTACAAATTAAGAACCTGGGAGGGTTATACGTGCAAAACAACCAAAACGGAATAACCATGGCACCGCACGACGTCAATTTCCAATATAGCCCTTCTGGTTCCATAGGCTTTTTCTGGCTACCCAGACGAGGCGGGCGGCGCCGCAGCCGTCCACCCCCGCGGACCCCAAGCCCAGGAAGGAAGCTTCTCGAATCTTCTCGAAGCTCCCTGATCCTTCCTCCTCCCCCAAAACCCTAGATCCCTAACCCCATTCGGCCACCACCACCGCCACCATCTCCCCCATGGACCATCCATGGCGGTTCCCCGCCGGCGACGAGCTCTGCCCGGTCTGCGCCGCGCCGCACTTCCCCTTCTGCCCGCCTCCGCCCCACCCCTTCCCCTACGATCTCCACCCGCCTCCGCCCCCTCCTCCGCCGGAGTACCACGCCCCCTTCCACCCTCCTCCTCCTCCTCCTCCCCCGCCGGAGTATCACGTCCCCTTCCACCCTCCGCCGCCGATGTGGGCCCCCCCGGGGCCGCACCCCTACGAGGTCCTCGACATGGAGGCCCCCCACAAGCGGATGCGCGTGGGCGATCCGTACGGCGACGGGATGCCTCCCCCGCTGCCCCCGCCGCCGCCGCCGGGGATGGTTCCCGTGGAGGGCGACCGGCTGCTCGGCTTGATCCGGGATCACGGCCGCCCTCCGTTTCCGCCGCCGCCTGGGATGTTGCACGGCGAACCGTACCCACCTCCTGATCGGTTCGGCTATGGAGGAGGGAGAGGCTATCCTCCTCCTCCAAATTATGACAATCCCTATGCGCATGAAGGCAGTTTTCCCGATTACGAGCACGCCGGGAGGTTTCCACCTGCGCATGAAAGGCTTGCCGCCTTAGGTTCAAGTTTTGTGCCTGGAGGACCTCAGGAGGGGTATTTCAACCATGATCACCGCTACAATCGCTTCCAACGCTCGGAATCGCCTGTTGCGCCGCCGCTCCCTCCACCGGCTCGATACCCTGAGGCGAGAAGCCGTTATGATTCCCACGGTTGGCATCCTGAGGCGGATGTTCCACCACCACCACCACCACTGGAGCCTCCTGTACCGTCTTCCTCAGATTACCATGCCAAGCCACCTTTGCAGGCTGTGAAATCATCTTTGTTTCCTATTCATTCCGGTTCTCCAGCCGCAACTGCGCGCCCACCTAGTTCTCATACTTTGCATCAAGCTCACCTGATGCCTAATGCAAATCGTTACAATGGACCTATCCACAATGAGGTTTATCTTCTTCTCTCTGTGAACTTGTGTTCACTGGTTATGATTCAATACTTTCCCGGGCACTCAGAAAGCAGTACTTGTTGTTGTACGAATGTTTCAGGTACCAGGTTTGGCATATCAACCACACTTAGAGCAACATTTAGGAGGTGGAAGGCAAACCCAAGCTCAGCATTCCATCAACAATGCTAAAATCAGTGTAATTAGTGCCTGTGACTTGTTCAAGCAGCCACTTCGTGGGTCACGGCCTGATCATATTGTTATCATCCTCCGTGGGCTGCCAGGTTTTCTCACAACCACTTTTATGTCCCATATGGCTGATTAAGCATTCCAAAGAACATTGCCGACACTGTTGACAGTTTTGTATGCTAGCCAGTGGCCACAGCGCTTGGTTAGACTAATTTTGTTATACTATGCCTCAAAAAGCGTTCATCTTTTGTGTGGTAGCTTTACTGTACCTGTTGTTTGTTGAGATTGATCTGACCTTCTCTGCATATAACACCTGGGAGTTGCTGATGTTTCTTTTATACTTATCAAATGCCTATTTTTTCAGTTCACAAAACAATACACATGATAAGCTCTTTTACTACTCTTCCATTCATAAATATATGTTGTTTCTAGAAATGCACACTGCTTCATCTGACTTCAATCATGATCTTAATAGAGGCATTTATATTGATCAAACTACTAAAATAACATCAATAATAAACCAATGGTTGAAATACTTTCATAGTGCTATTATTCTTGTAACATTTTACAAGCATATCATAGTAGACGATCAGAAACTTGTGGTCAAATTGGACCATGAAGATTGTAGACATTGTCTACTGTCCAGAGTGCTCGTAACATTTTTTTATCTGATTTTGATACATAACTTTTTTTCCTCTTATTGCACGCAAGCATTATGATCATGATTTAATAGTCTGCAAGACTGTCAATATTTTTTACTCTGGGAATTTATTCATATATATATCTGTGTTACCACTGTTACAATTTATAGGTAGTGGAAAGAGCTATCTTGCAAAGGCATTGCGTGACCTTGAAGTTGAGAATGGTGGAAATGCACCTAGAATTCATTCGATGGATGACTATTTCATGATTGAGGTTGAGAAGGTCAGTTGAAGAATAGCAGAACCTATCATGAACCCTGTACACTAATTTGTCACACTATACTCAGAATTGCTTATTACATTTCTGTTTTATTTGATGGGTATTCTGTCTTGTAACTTGGTTTAATGCTCTTAGAAAGTTGAAGACAATGAAGGGTCAAAATCTTCTAGTACATCCAAAGGAAGAAAGCAGCTGACCAAGAAAGTGATCGAGTACTGTTATGAGCCTGAGATGGAGGAGGTGATGAAATAGTTTTTGTTTGACTTCATTCCTTTATCTCATTTATTATGAATGCTATTGCCAATTATTGGAGCTATGTTATGGCAAACTGTTTCATTTGCCTGAAAAATTAGTCTTTACTCATTAGAACTAATGTAAACCTTTAGAAATGTCACATTCCCCAGGTTTACTTTAAATAACAATATCAGAGCACATCGCCTAGAAGTTGCAGCACTGGGCATTTTGATGTTGAAAGGATATGATCTCCCAGACTGCAGTATACTTCATAACCCACATAGATGTGTTTCTGTTGTGGAATCTGTATACTGTACATGGGAGTATTGTCCATCATTCACATTTTCGATAATTGCAGCATGAGTAATTGTTTTTTTCATGTATTTCACTATTTATCATTTGATGTAGTAATTTTGCTAAATTTCTTCTTTATTGGACAGACGTACAGATCAAGCATGTTGAACGCATTTAAGAAGACCCTTGATGAAGGGAATTTTACATTTGTGATTGGTATGAGTTATTTTAAATATTGTTGCTTTAGGATGAATTAATGATTTAATGATTTAATTCATGGTGGTGGTAATTACTTTGGTGGTTATGATTATGTTCTGCCTCATTATTTATCATAAATTTCATTGAGTACGGAAAAAGCCCTATGCAAACTTTATCATATATTCATTGACATCATATTATTTCAATCTATTGGCTTTTCTTCATGATTGGATCTTTGTCTTATTAAGTTCAATGTTTGGTGGCCATTTTCTGGGATTAGGACATAGGCAATGGGTTCCTAGACATTGGGAGGATGACAGGACATCCATTTGTACTAGTGGTTTATGTTTTGTACTGTTTGAAACATTCAATTAAGCAACAGGCCTACAATGGCATTGTACCGGGTGATGCCTTCATTCTTAGCAATGGCTGATGCTGGATTTGTGGTAACTGACTTGTTTATTGCTGGTATCCCTGCCCGTTTTTAGTGGATGACCGCAATCTGCGGGTAGCTGATTTTGCTCAATTTTGGGCAAGTGCGAAGGTAAACTCTCAGTCTCTGTTGCGTCAACTGTGAGAATTTACATTGCTTGTTGGAGCTTTTTGTTAAGGTTTTGAATCCTTAAGAGGGGTTCTGCTTTTTCTCCCCTTAGAACAAGAGGTGGCCTGCACTTGAAAAGCATACTTTAGTGCAAATTATAAGGCTGGAAAACACTATTAACTTATCTTGGATACACTACGAATCTTCTATTTTCTCTTTCCTTTTTTATTAATGGTCTCTTAATACTACTCCCTTTGTTTCAAAATATAAGGTATATTTTTTTTGCTAGCACAAGACTTTGACCAACAATTACTCTATTAGGATATAATTTTTGTGACACGAAATTGAATTTGTTAGATTCGTATTCAAAAGCACTTAATTATGATTATGCTTCTGTATCACATAAATAATATCCTAATAGAGCAATTGTGGGTCACAGCCTTGTCCTAACGAAACAAAACATGCCTTATATTTTGAAAAGGAGGGAATATTATAGTTATCCTGCTAGCACCCCCTTGACATATGTGTAGTGGATAGTATGAGAGGCATAGCATTAAGTAACTGTCATAAATTAATGCCCTGTTTGGAAACCATTTTTTTCTTTATTCCTGCTGGAATTGATAATTCCTACAAGAATTCGCGTCCCAAAGCCTTAATTAATAGCACTGTGCATTTATTACCACTAAGACACTAAGGCAGTCCAGTTTATTGGACCCTTCTCTCCCTTCTTTGCTGCAATTGAATGTACCTATACACCAGAGGGGTTATTTGGTTGTTTCTTAGTGCAGACTTATCGCTAGCTGTATTTCTGGTTTCTGTATGCAATTAACTGCATATATGTGCTTTCTTTCAATATTACATGGTTTGCCCAATAATATAAACCTTTTGCTCGTTTATTTTCAAGGGTTTTTGGTTATCTGCTTGTTTTACATGCCCTGAATCAACTGTCGAGTTGCTAAAATGAATTCGGTATTTGTGTATCCGTGTGGTTCTTGATGCTTCAGTTGGTCCAAAGCATCTTTGACTTCCACTTTAATGGCACTATTGACTTCTTAGAATTTAGATGATATGCCCATATGACAAGTGACCGTTTCATATGATTGTAACTTCTAGACTAATCTGTGCAAATTTTGTTGGATTATACCTTGCCATTTCAGGAGGCACTCTGTTCCTATACCTTGTTCTTTGGAATTTTATTCTCTGAATCATTTTATCTTGTTGGTAGTCATTTGAAAGTAAGTTCACTGTTCTATTCCTTTTGTAGAAATCAGGCTATGAAGTGTACCTGCTGGAGGCACCATACAAGGATCCAACAGTAAGTTTTCTTAACTATAAGCTATCTAGGCAGTCCTGGGAAAATCATATTGAATTTATTTGATTCATATATGTATCAGGCTGTAAAAAATCTTGTTTGCACTCCCATTAGTTATATTACCAATATTTACACCATATATTATAAACATCTGAGAATGTATTTCAGTTCCAGTAAGTACATGGGTTTACAGTAGATGATGTGATATCTTGTGAACAACAGGGCTGTGCTGCTAGGAATGTGCATGGGTTTACAGTAGATGATGTGAACAAGATGGCAGCAGACTGGGAAGAGGCTCCACCACTATATCTTCGACTAGACATCCATGTATGTTTTCTGATAGTATTCATATGATTGGCGGTTAAGACTTAAGACATGCTATTAGATACATGATTAATCGTGTTTTTCATGTTTTGTATTAATATTTTTAGTCATTATTCAACGATGACAATCTACGCGAGCATTCCATTCAAGAGGTATCCCATATCAGTATATCCCTACCCTACCAGTCACTTAAAGAGATCTATGTGCTCAAAATCTATTGTACTTCAAATAGGTGGATATGGAGACAGAAGACACTGATGGGGCCAGTAACACAGCAACTAGTACTGAAGCTGAAAACACACAGAAGGCTGTGTCTGAATCACTAGATAATGGACATGATCAAGGTACAGATTCCTATTATTCTTCAGTGATTAGTGTTGGCATTCCTTTGCCACAATTTATTGTAACATTTAAACCTTCAAAACTATGAGGAAATACTGTAAGTTACTTTACACATAAATGTAGAAAGCCTTTTTCTTGTTCTGTTGTGTTAGTTAGTACTTATAATACAACCAAATACTTATTTGGCAATACTGATGAAATGTGGAGAGATCAAATCCCCTGCAAAACAAGCACTGTGGGTTTGAAATAGATGGTTAAATAAGTGCAACAGACACCCTGCCATTGTGAATATCAATAATAGTAAACTTGTACTATTCACTGTACCATGAATGTGGACCCACTGTTCTGATATTGTAGTGCATGCATCAGCAGTAGCAGACTGTTAGTTTGATTTGGAAGTTATCCTTAAGCATTAAAATTATAAGAAACACTATAACGGATTCTTAGTGAAAGTATTAAGGACATGTTAAGTCAGACCTGTAAAATTCTGTTTAGACATCTCAGGAGCAGGGAAGAAGTGGGACTCGTCAGAAGAAGACGACCTGGATGGCTACAAAGAGCTAGGACAGAGTAAATGGTCAAAAGATTTTGATGAGGATACCGAGAAGTCTGACCATGCAGAAGGAAGTACGCATGCTCTTTCTGGATTGGCTCAAACCTACAGCACGCATCGAAAAACAGTTACCTGGGGAGATCGGGTATGCCTTTTTGCTTCAAGGGAAAAAATGCATTGTTTTCTTGCATTTTGTTAATATCAAATATTAGCGGCCTATATTTCTGTCATTGCAATAAACCAATCACTATTAAACAACTACCTTGTATTTCTAGGGAATTAAGGACAGATTAGTAGGATAGACAAATGACCACAATAACCTTATTTAATGAACACAATACATACACACATTCCATATATAAACTTAATTAAAAGGAATGTTGAGAGTTGAAACAACAAGTTAGAGATGTGATGGAAGGAATGGATATTACAAGGAAATATATTTTGATGTAATTAATTTGCTTGGTCCTGCATTAGTAGAAATACAATTTTTATGGGATGGAGTACATAACTAATCGTATTTGATTGCTCACTTAGTATTACAAACACATATTTGATGATACTTATAAAAAGAAGAGGACAAGTGATGCCCTTATTGTCCTTCTGCAACTTCTTATTGGTATGCATCATTTAACTAGCCTCCCATATTTTCTGTTCTTTCCTTGCAGCTAGAAAAGGGTGGTTTTTCTATTGGTGCAGCTAAAAGAAGACTCACTTCTTCATTAATCATAGGACCCGGATCAGGGTACAATTTGGTCAGTGGTCTAATTGACTTATTACTAAAGTTTGGTACTTTCGCAGTCTTTAATCTTTCTGCATGCCCTACGTAGTTTCATAACTTGATCCTCTATCCTTGTATCTCTTTGCCATCTTATCCTAGTTCTTGCAGAAAACGTGGGTCATGAGAGTCATTAATAATGGATCAGACAATGTTCTAAAAGGCTCTGCGATGTAGAGAAAACAATTATATGCTTTGATTTTAACACTTTTAACTTTAGAAACTTCTTCATCTGCATACTCAATAAAAAAATTACATTCATTCTCCAAGTGCTAATGTTATGAAAATTGATTCTTGTCAGTGCTTACAGTTGAGGGCTTGGGGCAGCACGTTGGCTCTTAAAAACCTGTAAGCATAGATGATGTAGCAGAGGCCTTTTTGTGCGCGGTTGAAGCTGCTGTAGAAGTAGAACCCATGCTAGTAAATAACAAGGCTTAAGCAAATTCTTTTCGTCTACTGGGCACTGGCACTTGCTTATAGAGGGCACGCTTTTGAAACTGCTAAATGGTGTGATTTGTGCAAAAGTTTCTGTAAATAAATATATTTTTCAATTTTATAATATTTAATACTTAACTAAACATATCCTAATGACTTGTCTCGTTTTTTATGCTGCACAAGCCCTAACATCTAATTCGAACATAGCCTCAGACTCATCTTTCTTAGTTTGCAAGTTAGAAGATCCTCATGCTCATATTTGGTTAGGATTCTGAAAGGTTTATTAGATGGTTGTTTTTCCTGCTTTAGCCACATGGTACAGGAAGACCCATAGATAATGCATGCAGGAAGCCCCTCCCTTGACAGTTGGGCAGTTCAATTTATTTTCCCATTGCTTGCAGGTTTCCAACCCCTTGGCTGAAGATAATTCCAAGCAGGCAAAGGGGGTAATCAACACCGATACAAAGAAGCGATTCAGCGAACAACTTCGTGACGAAGGTGAATCCTTCAGGGCAGTTTTCGATAAGAGGAGGCAGCGCGTCGGAGTTTTTGGCAACGGAGATGGCGAGTGATCCTCGACAAGAAGCCTCCAATGGCCTCTCTCGATGGTCAGGATACTCTAGGCATGGTTTGGCCATCAGTTTTGCTTCGGAATCAGTTTTGCTTCGTTGCAATTCTGCGGCTCGGAATGTACTGCTGCTGCCTGGCTCCTTTTTCCCAATTTCCCCATTCACACAGTTCACGGAGAGCCCTTGTTCCGGCCTTGTGCCTTGTCCATGTGTACCCCTTTGGTCACAAACAGAAGGTAACGGGGAATGCAGATTTGTGGCACTGTTGTATCTGTAAGCTGTCCCAATACCCAGAGGCTGCTAGTTAAAAAGCGCCCCCATAGAATGTAGCACTATCAGAAATGCTCAATTCTTGTTATTTAATATAGAGGTTTTCCAGAGTAGTACTATATTTGTAGTAGTGTTCTTATCATGTAGTCTTTACTTATTATGACTGCAGCCTGATGTCTATAAATACAAGGCACATGGTAGGAAGAGCCATATATACCTGTCTGAAATTTCAGTACTGTTGATTTTCAGTTTGAGTATAAAGTGTACCATTCAATACTCTATATATGTGTGTCTAAACATTTGATGTGATGGGTGAAAAGTTATTGTTTTGGGAACTAAACAGGGCCTTAGGCAATAAAGTGTACCATTTCAAACATTGGAAGTGAAGTCTCCTGCTGTGTCTTCCATAAACTCCAGTCGCGTCTCGCATTTCTATATATCTTGCATTCAACTCACTCCGCGTTCGCTGTCTAAATCGATCTCCAATTTCAACTATGCATATCTGTCGGGCCCGGTTTAGTTCTCAAAACAAAATTTTTCACTGTCATATTGAATATTTGAACACATATATAAAGTCACATATATAAAGTGTTAAATGTAGACGAAAAAAACCAATTGCACAAACTGTGTGTAAATTATGAGACAAATCTTTTAAGCCCTAATTGCGCCATGATTTGACAATGTGGTGCGACAATAAAAACATTTACTAATGACGGATTAATTAGGCATAATAAATTTGTCTCGTAGTTTTCTGGCGGAATTTATAATTTGTTTTATTATTAGACTGCGTTTAATACTTAAAACGTGTGTTCGTATATCTGACATGACACGCAGGGACAAAAAATTTTGTCAACTAAACAAGGCATTACACTGACATGCATATACTATGTACAGAAATTTAATTTGATTTTGGTTCATGACTTTCTGATGGTAGGAATAGTCGATTGGTCTAACCATCACGGTCTCGTACGTGATTCATCGGAGGTGTGCATGACGGCTTCATTTTTGTTTTACTTTGGTGTATAATCTCTATATCCATGTTAGCTCTTCAAATTTAGTACAACTATATTATTTATTATTGATATATGTGTAAGAAATGTTAATTCTCTATTTATTTATTATAATAGTACTTAACGACCGTTTACACATATCTCCTCGCCGCCATGGCTACGGCGGTGGCGGCCACCACCCACTCCTACTCCTCTACACCGCCGCCCGCCTCGCCCTCGCATAGCACTCCTCTTCTTTGACCACCCCCATCCTCCCACTAGCCGCGTCTCCGAGGTGCATGGATCACGGCAACGATGACAAATATGGATGTGTTCCTTGCGCATCCTATCGCGACTCAGCAGCGCCGCTGTCTCAACGGGCCATCCCCCCAGCGCTCTACCTCATGTAGGGTGCCTTCAACACGACAAGTGGCACGGTCATGTCCGATAAGACTATCAGGCTGATGGTGGAGGGCGTGGCATGGCTGGCCTATGGGTGTCTCGAGAGAAAAGAGGGGAAGAGAGAGGGGGGAGGGAGAGAGAAAAGGAAAGTGATAAGTAGCTTTTTTTTTTTCAAAAATAGATCAATATGATTTTTTAAGCAACTTTCGTGTAGAAATTTTTTTTGCAAAAGACGCACAGTTTAACGGTTTGAAAAGCGTGCGTGCGGAAAACGAGGGAGAGGAGTTGTGAAGAGGTAGCAGCGAACACAGCCTTAGGCTGAGTTCTTATCCCACTTTTCCCAACTCATCTCTCTCGTTTTCTGCGTGCACGCTTTACAAACTGCTAAACGGTGTGTTTTTTAGCAAAAAAAATTCTATATGAAAGTTATTTTAAAAAAAATCAAATTATTCCATTTTTCAAAAAAAAAATTAATACTTAATTAACCATCCAATAATACGTACTTCGTTGTGCATGTCGGGGAGGAGGGGTTCCGAACCCAGCCTTAGTCTATGACTCTACGTCTACCTGTCAGCCAAAAATATGGGCTACAAAGTTATTGATTTGCGCTAGAAATTGTGTGATTTTATTATAGTGTATAGGAAATTATAGTTGCAAAATATTTCTTAAACCTATAGTTCCAATACCATCATGCGCGCCGTATTTACCTTGCGCAATATCAAATAAAAAATATGTTAACCACCACTGCAGAAACAAAAAAAAACTATCTAAGAAATTAAATTAAGCTCCATCGTTTGTGTTGCAACTTGTGTCACAACCAAAATTCGAATATCACTTAAGTTTAGGGTTGATTTTGTCTTCATTATAGTTTATATTTTAGAAATGACTTTACTAAGAGCACACATATAAAAAAACTATCACTTTAGACTTATAATTAGCTTTGGACTAAACAATTCTTCCTCCGTTTCTAAATATTTAACGTCGTTATCTTTTTTTAAACATGTTTAACCATTCGTCTTATTAAAAAAAGAATTATTAATTCTTTTCCTATTATTTGATTCATTGTTAAATATACTTTCATATATACATATAGTTTTACATATTTCACAAAAATTTTGAATAATAAGAACGGTCAAACATATGCTAAAAAGTCAACGGTGTCAAACATTTATTAACGGAGGGAGTATTAGCCTTGACCCTGGTAATTCATGGAATATCTAGGGCCCCACTGATTGATCGTGAGCTGATTGCAAGTTAAAACAACTTATTAACGATTTAAAAAATAATTTATGAGCAAAATTTTTATATGTGCGTTATTAAAAACTTAAAACAAATATAAACAAATACATTGAAAATTCATAAAATTATTAAAATTTAAATTTAAATTTTAAATTTTAATAATCGGTGATTTTGTACAGGGAAAACGGCGAGGCGCCGAGAGCCCATTGTTTGACACAGCCGTCTCCCCTGCCCTCTGTCTCCGCCTTCTATACTTCTAGACCCTTCCATTCATCTCTCCATCTCTCCGCCCCCTATATAAACCCCCCCTTCCCCTCCTCGCCCATCGCGGCATCGCCTCCTCTGCTTCGTTTCCTTCTCCAGCAAGCACCCGACCACAACACACACGCGAGCTCCTCGAGAGAGGAAAAAAACCCAACCCCGAATTCGGCGGCGGCGGCGGAGGCGGAGGCGGCGATGGACCCCTCGTCGGCGGGCGCGGGCGGCAACTCGCTGGCGTCGGCGTCGTGCGGCGACGCGCAGAAGCGGCGGGTGTGCTACTTCTACGACCCGGAGGTGGGCAACTACTACTACGGTCAGGGCCACCCGATGAAGCCCCACCGGGTGAGGATGACCCACGCGCTGCTCGCCCACTACGGCCTCCTCGCCCCGGCCAAGATGGAGGTGCTCCGCCCGCTCCCCGCCCGCGGCATCGACCTCTGCCGCTTCCACTCCGACGACTACGTCGCCTTCCTCCGCGCCGTCACCCCGGAGACCCAGCTCGGCCAGGTCCGCGCCCTCCGCCGCTTCAACATCGGCCCGGACTGCCCCGTCTTCGACGGCCTCTACGCCTACTGCCAGACCTACGCGGGGGCCTCCGTCGGCGCCGCCGTCAAGCTCAACCACGGCACCCACGACATCGCCATCAACTGGTCCGGCGGGTTGCACCACGCCAAGAAGTCCGAGGCCTCCGGCTTCTGCTACGTCAACGACATCGTCCTCGCCATCCTCGAGCTCCTCAAGCTCCATGAGGTGACGTCATCCTATTCCGCTCGTACCTGTGTTCCTTTTTTTTTTCAATTTTTTTCTGCTTTTCTTGTTTTTTTTTGGTTCGTTTAATGTTTCGAATAGATTAGGAGTAGTACTATTTGGATGGGTGGTTTGTTTAATTTTTCGAATAGATAGATTACTTGATGTGTAAGTTGGGTGGGTCAATGAAGACGGAAGCAAAAATCATCTTGACTTCTTTCTCTCCAGTTGCTCTGATTTTGTTGTGTACAGTTCGATCGATCTTCCGCTAAATTTTGGATCGGTAGGAAATATTAATCATCTGTAAATGTAAATGAAATGGCTATCTGTAGACAGAAATTGGATTAACTTTTTGCTCAACTTAAATCTCATACTATACTATTCGTTACGCGATTACACATTGTCTGAATAGTATGGCATATTGGCACGTGCAGAATTATGTATTAACAATTTTATTCAGATTTTTGTTTTCCTGGATAAAAGCTCATGTACGTTGATGAATCATTCTGAATGTGTATATGTATTTCTAGTTGATATAATGATGTTCCAAAGAGAGAGAATGATATGACGACGAACTTGCTGTGTTTGTTATTAAATTTGCCCATGATGTATACTGTTAAAGCTATATACTCCCTCCGATATAAGGAATTTTGAGTTTTTGTTTGCAATGTTTGACCACTCGTCTTATTCAAATTTTTTTTTTTGCAAATATAAAAAACGAAAAGTTGTACTTAAGATAATAAAGTAAGTCACAAATAAAATAAATAATAATTTCAAAAATTTTTGAATAAGGCGAGTGGTCAAACGTTGCAAGAAAAATCTCAAAATCGCTTACATTATGGGACGGAGGGAGTACAACATACAGAATTTTCATTGGACGATTCATGATAAGAGATTGATTTGATTGAAACGTATTCAGAACAAGAGGTGACTGATTACACAGATCTGAAGAATGGATGTTGCGTAAAGACAATCCTAGATTATCATGAACAGTTGAAAGTTTGAAAACAGATCAGATGTTTTTTTCCCCTATTTGGTCTAGTTGTCTTCTTGTGCTAAACCACTAATATGCTGTCTTCATATTTACAGCGAGTTCTGTATATTGATATTGATATCCATCATGGAGATGGAGTTGAGGAGGCATTCTACACAACAAACAGGGTTATGACAGTCTCATTTCACAAGTTTGGGGATTATTTCCCGGGAACAGGGGATATCCGCGACATTGGGTATTCAGAAGGGAAGTATTACTGCCTGAATGTCCCGCTGGATGATGGAATTGATGATGACAGCTACCAGTCCATCTTCAAGCCGATCATCAGCAAAGTCATGGAGATGTATCGTCCTGGTGCAGTCGTGCTTCAGTGCGGCGCTGATTCGTTGTCCGGTGATAGGTTGGGCTGTTTCAATCTCTCAGGGAAAGGTCATGCTGAATGTGTTAAGTTCATGAGGTCTTTCAATGTTCCGTTGCTTCTTCTTGGTGGTGGTGGATATACCATAAGAAATGTTGCACGCTGCTGGTGTTACGAGGTATGTAATCTGATCAGAAGACAAAACTGATATATATCTTTCCCCCCGCTTTTTTTTTCCTTTGTGCCTTTAACATACAATTAATTCTATTGTTTATGGATGATAAAGCAAAGCCATGAGCTCGGTAATGTGTTAGAACCTAATTTGCTTTGTGTTTCAACTGTGTTCGATGCTCAGCATCAAGAACTTGTCTTCTATAGTGGTCTGTACCTTCTACCTGGCTTTGTTTATTGATCCATGCTGCTGTAATTTTACAATCACGAAACTAAGATTTTGGTTTCTGCTGAGCAGATGACTGAAATGCACAGAACACCTATCGCCCATTTACATGTAATGCTTAATCTATTTATTTTCTACTCTGTTTCATTCAAATGCATTAATTTGTGAGAACTTGTGCAGTAACAAATCATCCTGTGTTTCTCAAAGCATTAAAGGGTGGTTATTTTAAAACAGATATAGTATCAGGCAAGGCACAATAGAGCTTTCATAGACAAGCTTAACATTATTACTTCCGATGAATCCCGGAAAACGCTACTAGCTAACTGTTAACCCTTGCAAAATTATATGCTTCAGGCCACCACCTGTTCCTCAGTTGTTAGCTTTCATCAAAGGTGTGTTTAATAAATTAGCAACCCAAAATCTGGTGGCTCTTTGGACCTTGCAAGCCTGCTTTCGTTTCCTTTTGTGAATTTATAAATCTGAACACACAGCAGGCTAAACATGGCGAACAAGTGCGAATGGCAGTGCCTTATGCTTGCTGGAGTCTTATATCAGGAACATCTGTTGCTACAGCTATGGTTTTATCCTCTGATTGTTTATTTGGTTTTTTATTTGGCCAGACAGGAGTTGCACTTGGTGAAGAGCTACAGGAGAAGTTGCCTTACAATGAGTATTATGAATATTTTGGTCCAGAATACAGTCTTTACGTTGCAGCAAGTAACATGGAGAACAGAAATACAAACAAGCAACTGGAGGAAATAAAATGCAATATTCTGGACAATCTTTCAAAACTTCAACATGCACCTAGCGTCCAATTTCAAGAGCGAATTCCTGAAACAAAGCTACCTGAGGTGAGTCTCCAGGCTTCCTAATATAAGCATGCAAATGATGTCTTGGAAGTGATAACTCAAGGGCTGACTGAATGTATTTGTGTCCTGTGCATATGTGCTCATTATTCAGCCAGATGAAGATCAAGAGGATCCAGATGAAAGGCACGACCCTGACTCTGATATGGTGTTGGATGATCACAAACCTACGGGACACTCAGCAAGGTATCTATTTTTCCTTTTTTTAAAAGCTGTATTAAATTTTGTATAATTATGTGCCCTGCCTCATGTTATATTTTCATTTTAGAAGCCTTATTCACAACATCGGAGTAAAGAGAGAAATTACTGAAACAGAGACCAAAGATCAGGTACTTTCTCCTCTCAGTTCATTCCAATGAGCGGTTCTGTCCTGTCTCATTTATAAAATTCAAGACACGACGTCCACCATTTTAATTTGAGATGTCTCCTTTTTAGCTGAGCCTGAATCCTTAGAACTAGCTGAGCCTGAATCATTAGAACTAACAGTATACTTACTCCATTCTTTTATTAACATGCGCCCTTTTGTTTAAAGAAGTGGCATTCCCCTTTTGTGCTTATTTATGTACTCCCTTCGTTTCGTATTATAAGTCGTTTGATTTTTTTTCTAGTCAAAATTTTTTGAGTTTGTACAAATTTATAGAAAAATTATATTAGTATTTTCAATACAAAACAAACATATTATCAAAATGTATTCAATGTTATATTTAATGAAACTAGTTTGGTATTTTAGATGTTGCCAAATTTTCTATAAATTTGGTCAAACTTAACCAAGTTTGACTAGAAAAAGGTCAAACGACTTATAATATAAAAGTATGAAATTGATGGAGTAACAATGAGGTTTTCATTGTAGAGTTCTGTTCTTGCTGGCTTGCTGCTATATGTGAATTATAATCTTTATCCATATCGGTGCTAGAAACATAGCGAAATTCTCTTGTGCTGTTGAGTTGTGGAGAAAGACTGTGGTGCTGATGAAATTATTTTGCTTACCATAGATGTATTGACCTTTTCATCTGAATGAAATTTAAGGCAGCATTGGTTGTACCTTTTCCTTATCTCACAGGATTTTTTTTTGGTTGTGCATAGTCTCATACAAATTATTTAGAATCTATACCTTGCATTTATGCGAAACGAGCCCTTTGAAATTCTTTTTTTTTTTGAGGGGATAATGGCAGGAGCTCTGCCTATTCATTAAAGGAGAAAGAAGCAGTTTCACGTACATGGACACCTCCAAGAGGTGTCTTCAGATTTTTACATTGGAGGAGGTTACAGCACTTTGAGAAAGTGCAAAGCCACTAACAACAAAAGTAGGCGTTTTTTCATCTAAACGATTTGCGCTTCATCGAAGGCTTTGCACATGTTGATGATGGAGTCAACCACATGTAACACTGTACCATAGTCATTGTTAAAAATTCTAGCATTTCTTTGTAGCCAAATCCCCCATGTCGTGTAGGCCATCAAAATTCTTTCTCTGCTCTTTGATCATTTCTCTCCGGCAAGCTTCCCACCAATCCATCATGTTTCCATTGAAGGAAGAAGACCTAGGCATGTTGAGTCCTAGTTTCAACCAAATGTTTGTCCATACCTGTTTCGCGAAGGGGCAATCCATGAAGAGATGTGTCGCTGTTTCTGGTTCTGTCCCACAGAGGGAGCAAGTTGGACTGTTGTCCCAACCTCGGATTTGGAGTTTGTCAGACGTGAGAACTTTCTTTTGGACCATGAGCCATCCAAAGAACTTGCATTTGTTTTCTGTTTTTGCTCGCCAAATGAAGTTAACACGATTGTCCTGAATGCTTCCAGTGAATTGAATTTTGTAGGCCGAGTTGGCTGAGTAGATTCCATTCGCATTCCATTTCCACATTAGGTTGTCCTCCCTGTTTTCATCCAGTTGTACCTGTTGTATCAAGTGCCAGAGCAGGATAAATTCTCGAACCTCGGTCGTCGTGTTCATCCTTCGGAGCCCTTTGAAATTCTTGCAGCTTGGACTTTGTGGTATCTTTGTGTGATCTTTTGTTGAACTAACACTTTCTGATTTACACATTCTGCAGCATGGTAAGAGATTAACAACCGAACATAAAGGACCAGAACCGATGGCAGAGGATCTTGGTTCCTCCAAGCAAGCTCCTGTAAGTCGTCGTCTTCTCTTTTTTTTTTTTGCGGGGGAAGTCGTCGTCTTCTCTATCCATCTGCAAATCCATAGCAAAAGCTCTGCGTTGCCTAATGCCTATATGGATATCGAATTATCTAACACCATGGTTAATCTGCTCTAACAAGTATTTTTCATCTTCACATTGCTTGTCGACGATAGACTGCGGATGCAAATGCGGTGGCCGTCAACGCGCCAGGCAACGCCAGGAATGAACCGGGAAGCTCACCCAAATGACCGAACCCACCAGCAGCTATGCACCAGAAGACCATGATTTAGCTACCTTCAGGACACGAGCTCTCTGTCAAGGTTTCCTGCATGCTCTTAAGTTGGCAGAAACTGGAGTTGATCTGTATACTGCATCTTGACATTTCAAACTTAAAAATCGACACAAATCAAGAGCAAACACTGTTTGATTGTTTCTTCTGTAGGAGTTTACCATTGTTTCTTTTGTTGAAGAAGTCCATAATGTTCAGGCAATACTGGACGTGGAGGCATTAGTCTGACTGACCAATGTAGTACAAAACAAAACATGTAACGTGAAGCAAGTTAAAATGTACAGTCTGTTAGACTGTTAGATGGAGATATGGAATTTCAGGCGAAAACCCCGTGCCTTGTGTGTTCTCTACATTGTGTTGTGTTCATAACAGATTTACTAGTATAGTATTTTTTTCCGGCTTATCAGTGGAACCATAATTAGCGTAGTTGTTATCAATGTTTAGGATGTGTTCGGCTCTTTATCTTCCTAATTTTTACTCCCTCATTTCCCTCATTTTTCACACACACGTTTCTTGAATTATTAAACAATTATTTTTTTTGCAAAAAAAATATAAGAAGGTTATTTTAATTATCATTACCTGATTAATTCTCCATTTATTAATCGACACAAATCAAAAGCAAACAAGTAGTAACTGAGAAGAAGGCAACAAATGCTCAAGGATTACCGCTTAAGGTGCAAGCAGCCACCTCCCGTTGAGGATTTGAACAAGCAGCCATCTCCGCTTAACTGAGTACTTTGTTTGTCTCATAATATAAAGGATTTGAACAATGTAAATAGTTTTTTTTTAGATAATGTTGAACAATGTAAATATATAAGGATATGTACTCGACACCTGCTTCCATTGTCAAGGAGAGGTTCGGGAAGGAGATGAAGATAGGATGATGGATCCGGGAGAAGATGCAGGGGTGCTACGAACGACGGGAAGGAGGGGGAGGTGGTGGCTCCGACAATGTGGCGGTGCTCCTGGCTGGACTTCCGGCAAGGCCGCGTAAGGCGGCGACTGGCCAGGAAGGATTGGGGCAGTGGCATCTGAACCATTCCTGCTTGATCCAACGGCGGTGATTATCTCTCTCTCACACACACGCTCTCATTTTAATACATTTTGCAAAATCGTCCTTTATTTTGATGGTTGGTTGCGACCCAGAGTTTTGGTTCAGATCACCGACCGAGCAAGGGAATGAGATGAGGAAGGCTAATTTGAAAATTTTGCTATCCAAATAGGGGTCTATATGCATAATTTAGGATATAATTATTAAGGTTGTGTTCTTCCCTACACTTACCGAACCTCTATTTCCTCGTTTTTCGTACACACGTTTCCCAAACTACTAAACAGTGTTTTTGAAAAAAAATTATAAGAAAATTGCTTTTAGTATTAATATATTTTTCAAGATTTTTTAGCTAATACTTAATTATTATGCCCTAAACCGTTGTTTCGCTTTGTGTGCTAAAGGGGAAGGTTCCCAACCACTAGTAGAAGTGGCTAAGGCTTCCTTCGTTTGCGCTGTCAAAACAAATGGGGAAGACAAGGTTTTAAATATCATCAAAAGGCTCGACATTTGCCATTGATGTGGTTTCTGCACTTGATTATCTTCACCAACATAGGCCATTGCCAATTATTCACTGTGATCTCAAGCCAAGCAATATTTTCCTAGATAGTGAAATGGTTGCTCACGTTGGTGATTTTGGGCTTGCAAGAGTCCTGCATCAAGACCATAGTGACATGTTAGAGAAATCAAGTGGCTGGGCTACAATGAGAGGAATGGATATGCTGCTCCAGGTATGCTTCTAACAGCTACAATCCACGGTTTTCTTTCTAATTTATTCAGAAACCTTTCCATTGATCCATACTTAAGTAGATCGTTTTGCTATTCAGATGTGTGCAATTTGTTATGAAAAAACTCAAATTCTTGCAAATGATAATTATGCAGCAGTGTAAATTATATATTATTAGACTGAAGCCTACATATAAATTTAAATATAAATGCTTAAACTTGCAACAATTTCCTTTATGTAACATTTTCTTATGATTACAGAGTACGGTTTGGGCAATGAGGTTTCAATTCTGGGTGATATCTACAGCTATGGTATACTGTTGCTGGAGATGTTTACCGGAAAAAGACCAACTGGCACTGAATTTAAAGAAGCTCTCAGCCTTCATAATTATGTAAAGATGGCACTTCCAGACAATGTGATCGATATTGCAGACCAACACTTACTATCAGAGAACAATGATGGAGAAGAAAGAAACTCAGATGGCAAAAGAAAGAGACACGAGAATAGCCTGCATCATATCAATTCTGCAGATTGGAGTTTCCTGCTCAAAGGAATCTCCAGCAGATCGCATGCATATCGGAGATGCTTTGAAAGAGTTGCAGAGAACAAAAGACAAGTTTAGCGTGTCCCTGCGTTGAAGCATCAAATCTCTGAATAATTTGGCATAATAATCCCCAGGCTATAATAGATATTTACAGCCGAGCAACCGAAGCCTTATCAGCATAGGTTCAGGTTGTATGAGTAGCTTCATGATGTTCACACATGCAGGGTGCTGTTTTTTTTTAGATAAAGGATTATCAAACCCGGCCTCTACACCTTTGTGGGGTGTACACAGCCAAATGCAGGGTGCTGTTACTGAACAAAATATAAGAACCATGAACCATTTAGCATTTGCAGGAAGAATATGTAAATCGACTAACTGCACATACAGTTTTTTTTGTTTTTGTTTTTTCGCTTGTAACCTACAAACTGTTTTGATGGAAGCATTCGATAGCACGCAAGTTCAGAGACTCACAGCAAACAGCTCCTCTCCTGAAAAATCCCAATTCCAATGGTTCAGTACTGCAACTGCACTAAACTAACCTAAAGGAATGGACATTTACCAAGATCCATTACCACAAAGTATAATGTTTTATGTTTCCCCATTTGGTTGAGAAGTTGCAAACTCAAATGCATCGACATCATCCCAAGCAAACAAGAGAGTATCAGTGTATTCACAAAAGGAAAAAAAAAAAGTTTCCGCGTTTACCCCTTCGATGAAAGCGGGGGAGGAGAAAGCAGAGGCGGGGGGTGGAGCATCACCACCGAGTCGACCAGTTGAGACGCTGGGTGGAGACGGGCCTACGCGGGCGGCGGCCTCCGGGCTCCGGCGATCTCGGCGGCGTGATTAGCCGGCTGCCTTGCCTAGCTAGAACAAAAACCCAGAAGGGTAAAGGAAAAATCGCAATGCGCGCTCGATATATGCCTCGTGGTGGCGGAGCATGAGGCGTGCGGGCGGCGGAGACGATCACCGATGCCCCCACCATCGCCGCCAGCCAGGGCGACTCGCCGCCGTATGCGCGCCGGAGACGAGACGGCGGCGGAGAGAGCCGGAGAAGAAGACGCCGAGGCGGCCTGCAGCGCAGGCTCGTTGTAGCCCAGCCCACCTGTCAAATCACCAGGGCCCACGGGCCTCACGGAGGCGGCAATAATCCCGTCCCGGCCCAAATGTATGGGCCGCATGGATAAGAAATAAGTCTATTATTTGTCCCTCAACTCATACCCACTGACTGAATCGGGGCAAGAGTTGAGAGGGGCTAAATAGACTTATTAATAAACGCAACGCCGTTCCGGCCCAACACTTATAGGACTCACGTAGGCTGCAATCCCGTTCCGGCCCAAGCCGCACCGTACACCGCGATCCTTTTTGGGCCCGCTTTATCCAGCGGCCATCACCGCCGCCGCCGCCGCCGCTGCCGCCGGCGAGGCGAGGCAACGCGCAAACACGGTGGAGCTTCTCGACGTGGACAGGATGGAAATCATGGCGTCGGGCGGACTGCACTGCTCGGCGGCGAGCCGGCGACCGTGGGTAACTCTTGTAGATAATTTTTGGAGCTAATTTGGTTTTTCGTTGGCGAATTTTTATCCATTATCTTAAAAATAAATTAGTTCTGATGGTTCGTTTTTTTAAAATAATGTCTTCTTGTTTGAAAGTCATGCTAGTACAGTTATATTTGTTCGGTGTAAATTCAATTGAATTGACTGAACAAACTCTGGCAGAGTCGTTATTGTTGACAAAGAGCTTAAATCATAAATTGTTACTACATTCACTATAACTTCGCTCCTCCTCTACTCCTTGGCACAAATTCAACCAATCAAAATGATTTGAAGATTGGAAAGCCCCTGTTTTTATCTTCTAGTTTGAAGCTTCTATCTTTGCATTTTCAATGGGCATAGTCTCAATCTTCGTCATAGTTCCAACCATCATGTACATCAACAGAAACAGAGCGTTCACTTCATAACCACTTTTAACACTACCAAAATTTTGACATATTTTGTGTTAGTATTAAATTTTGATAGTGTTAGATATGTTTGGTTTTAAGCCTTACCAAACTAGAGGATGCCCCGCGTGTTGCTGCGGGATTTGGTTAACATTAATTTATTAGATAGGAGGTATAATCTCAAGGAGAAACAGAAAAACAAATAGCTTTCTTGGAGAAATTCTTTTTAGTAGCCCTATCCAAAATTTTGTAGATAATTTAGGTAGCACATGTCAACTGAAGGGGTGTTCAGCCATAAAGCTCTTTTATACGGATTGATGGGCTGGATACATATAGATGTGTGTGGAGATGGGCCATTGTGTTTATATGGGCTACATTTGGCACTAAGGAGGCGAAGAGACTCACCCGGTGACTAATGGATTGGGCTCTATGCTGCATTCTATCCAACGTTTGAAAAGCGATCTAATGCATTCATCCAACGGTTCACAATTTGATGATGACGTGGAAGCACGAGGTTTGAGCTTTTGGCCTTAACTTTATTGAAAGAAGGGATTTCATCATAATTGTTAAGAGTAGAAACTTCTAGAATTACCAAAATTAAGTAGGACAGCATTGATAATATATGCTTGGTTTGTTGATCTACCATTTTTTTTTTGACACCGTTGATCTACCAAAATTTGGTAGGTTTGAAAGCGACAAAAAAGAAAAAAATAAACAAGCCCTAAATAACCACCTTACATGCTTAGATTTTCATGACCTAACTTATGTTAGTCAATACAAGTAAAACACGCACAATCGTCCAAAGGATCCACACTTGACAAACTTCAAATAAAACCAAAATACATGGACCCAACTGATACTAATTTCCACATGATCTCGATCACATAGGCATCCAATTCTGCGCTAATCCTTTACATCCAATATTGCTCCATGCAATAACAATTGCATCCTTTGTTCCTTGGCTCTCTGCTCTCAAATTCCTAGCAACAAGGAGGGTCGTTGTGTACCCGCCCGGGCCGCCTGAAAACGTACGAAACTCCAAATCAAATTAATGAAATCGTGCAAGCAAAAGAAAACGACAGTGATCGATATGTATGCTCGTCAGAGGTTGCCTCTCGATCTCTAGCTCTGGTAATGACACTTGTAATGCAAACAATTGATAGGATTCGACGAGACAGTGTTGATTTGCTTGGAGCTAAGAGATGATGATGGCCTCCATGATGCGTCTCCCTGTCTCCAAAGCTGCCGATGGCAAGCGTACAAGGCAGAATCAAATGGCATCTGCATTAGCAAGAGGGACATCAGTAGGAATGCCTGCAACCTGACGCGAAACCCAGCTTATCTCATCGAATTCACCGGTCTCATCATCTCTTTGATGCTGCTGTTCTGCAGATCGAAATTAGTATTCTCAAACAGGCTTGCGATAGTGGGGTTAGCACAGATTACACATGTAAAGGTACACATACACAGCTAGCTAGTCAGCCATGTTTTTTTTTTTCAGGGGACATGCAGGGAGTTCCTGCAATTTACTATAGAAGAAGAGAGTTGATCCAGTTTATAAGGAAAACCGGGGCTAAAAACCTTACAACAACATGGTTAATTAAAGGAAAACCGGCGAAAACCCTGACATTGACGTACTGATCCTAAGAACAGCAGTCCAACAAGGGAGAAAACTCCTAAAACGAAGCCTTTAAGAAGGTTACGCCGAAAGAATGGCGACATCGTCCGATCCTAACGAATCTAAGGTTTTCACCCAGAGGATATCCTTTAGTGGCGTTGAACGAGGGCTCCAATAGCAACGCCTTCAAGAAGGTGAACGGCACCCGAGGGCATCGCCGTTGCTAGCACCAGAAGCGGAGCAAGGCTTTCGCCTCGGAGTCCCCCTCAACCATAGCACCTACAGTGGAAGCCACCAAATATCACCTGCACCTACACACCGAAGGTATATGCACTATGCACACCACCTGCACAACGACCGGATTCCATGCCACCCCCGACCCGACCGAGGACGTACCGGATCTAGACCTAGCCAGAACCGGCCGTCCTCCTCACCACCATTGCTGGCCAAGCGCGAGATGTGGGGCAGGTCGCTGGCCGCCGGATTCGTGGACTCCACCGCCGCCGCTCTAACACCGTCGCCATCCCTGATGCCATCGCCCACATCCCCGCCCAGCGCCGCTCACCCCGATCTTCGTCGTCACCAACCCCGCCGCCGTCGCCGTCCCCGTCGCCGCCGCCATCGCCATCCCACCAGATCCGGTCGAGCGGCATGGATCTGGCGGTCACCGCCGCCGCCGCCAGGGCAGGTCCCCTGACCGCCTGAACTTTGGGGAGCGAGAAGCCCCCTGCCGCCGTCCTTGCAGCCTCGCGGCTTTGCCGGCGGCCACTCGGGCGACGGCGAGGCGGAGGAAACACTACTGGAGAAATGATCTTTCGAGGGTCGAGCGATTTCCACAATAGTCCCGGTTCTAATAAGAATCGGGACTAAAGATTGTTTTTAGTCCCAGTTAAAAAAAATTGATCTTTAGTCTCGGTTCATCCCCTGTCAGAAGCCTACCAGGGGGCCGAGGATCTTTAGTCTCGTTTGAAACTACCAACCGGGAGTAAAGATTACCACTTTAATTCCGGTTGGTAGTACCAACCGGGAGTAAAGATCATTTAGATCTTTAGTCCCGGTTGGTACTACCAACGGGAGTAAAGATTTATCTTTAGTCTCGGTTGGAGTTACCAACTGGGAGTAAATATTTCTCTCCCATCTCTGATCGGTTAAGTCCTAGATAAGATCAGTTAAGTTCTCTCGATCTCTCCTCCCCTCAGATCCGATCTCTTCCTCCTCCCCTCCCCTCTCCTCCTCCCCCTTCTTCCCTTCCTCCTCCCCTCTACTCCCCCTCATCCCTCTGCACGGCCGAGCGGCGCGCTGAGCCGCGGCCGGCGCGGGCGAGCGCCGGGCCAGGCGGAGGCCGGCGCAAGCGAGCGGCGAACGGCGGGCCGAGCTACGGCCGATGCGAGCGAGCGCCGGGCCAAGCGACGGTCGGCGCGGGTAGGCGGCTGGCGGCGGCGACAGCGGGTAGGCGGCCTGCGGCCAGCGGTGACGGGCGCGCGGCGGGCGGCCAGCGGCGGAGGGCGCTTGGTGGGGCCGCGCACGCAGGCGGCGGCCGGCGTCCTCCATTTTTTGTGTGATTTGTGATTTGTGATTCCCTGGATGTATAATTTCTAGAATTTGTGATTCATTGCATGGATCTGTGATGTTTTTATTTTGTGTGTAATTTATTTAAGGATTTGTGATGTATTTGATTTGTGTGTAACTTAGATTTGTGAGGTGAGTGATTTGGGATGTTACTTGATTTGGGGTTTGATTTGGGGATATGCTTCTCACCCGATGCGAGAAAATACAGGGATTAACTGCCAGTAGTAAATTAACAATTAAAAAAAAAGAAAAGGGGATCAACCGGACGTGGCTCAGCTATCTTTAAAGATAAATATTTACTCCCGGGTATCTGAACCGGGACTAAAGACTGCGATCTTTAGTCCCGGATTCCTTCTCCTGGTTCGCTACCCGGGAGTAAAGGGGTTGCGAACCGGGAGAGATGTGGGGTTCTCCAGTATAGTGAAAGGGGTGGAAGAGAGGGGGCGGCTGGGTCGTCGCCTCCCGACCCAGGGGAGAGAGGAAACCCCGATAATGATAATCTTGGATCAGAAATGCTAGTCAGCCATGTGGTGTGATACATTAAGCTGTGTTGACATATTTATTTTAAGATATATAATGCCTTATTCACGCTTCTATAGGCAACAAAGCTATTTTTTTTGGCAGAAGTAAAAGGCAGCACAATCTTATTACAGTTAGCCGATATTCAGAAATAATCAATACAGGTAAAATTACCTCCCTACTACATGTACTGTTTCTCATCAGTTCAGTGTTATGTTTCATCAGCATACATAGAGACAATATTTTCTTATAAAGAGGGCCAATTTACCTTGTGAGATATTGAGTAGTTAATTTATTCTAACTCTAATACCGATCAAAACTCACCCAAACTAAATTGTACGAAATGCTCCCTATCCAATTCTAAGGGGTTGCACATGTATTGGTTCAAAAATATGGGTTCTTTTTACAACCTTACCTATATTTTTGGTTTAAAATGAATAAAAATTCAGCCCACT